TCAGTGAAATAAAAGGGAAAAAAAGAGTAGCGTACAAATTGCTTAAAAATGGAATAAGACAGAAATTGGCACTACAGCTGAGGAACATGCTGTCAGTAAAACATTCTGCTGCATTTATAGTCAGACTTTCCTAAAGCTAATTATTAGCAGCTTCCTTGCCATTTTGGAGAGCTTGGTTGGTGGTGGTAGGTAGGATTAGATTATGGTCTCAAATAAAACTCTCCTTTCCACTGATCTTGGTCTATATTCTCTTTCTAGGCTCTTAAGGATTTGTTTTAAAATTGGATTACTAGGTTTCTTTGATTTCATCTGGAGGCTTAATTTGAAAATGGGCATAATTGCCTCTGCTTCAGAAGAAAATTGTTTTCCTAGGGCTCCCTTTTGCTTCCTGCTTTGAGATTATCAATTGTATCTTCTAAATTTAAACCCTTGATAAAGCTAATCAGCTTTAGCACATTGGTTTAAAAGCTCTTTTTCCAGCTTCTCGAAACAATATTTTGTAACAAAATTTAATATCATCTGTCAAGGAGTATCTTCCCTGGTTGTCTGCTCTCCATGTAAATTATCTTATATAACAATTTTTATAATTATACTCCCTGTTAGTATGGATTCACTCAGTATTCGTTTTTCTAGAATGACTGGCCAGGCTGCTATTCAAAATTTCTTGACTTAACCACCTTTGGATGCTTTTTTTGTGTTATGTGTACATGGGTGTTAGGAAGGAGCTATGTTCAAAATGGATGACAATCACTGTAGATTTTCTTTTTCTGTGTCTACACTGGGGTAGAAATGCAGATGGCTTCTTAAGTAGCCCTCAATTTGTGCATGGTCTTTACCTCTGCTTGTAACTCTTCCTGAGCATAAGCAGCCACAGTTGGAGGTTGGTGTGGGGATACCCTCATAGGGAAGGAAGGGAGGGAACACTGAGTTGGGCCTTATGAAACAAGACTTTGTTGAAATTGATACTTCGGTACAATGAACGGAGAGCTGCTGTTGCTATGGCAACTCCTACGTGGAAAAGTGCATGCTGCCTGCAGATGATTTTTGCAGTGCTCAGTGTTAATCTGATAAATGTCTTTTTTAATAGTAGTTTGTTGGCTAATGGGGAGGGTGAAGTCAACCTTCACTAACCAAAAGGAGGATGGGAATTTTTGAAGCCTCTGGCTCATTGGAAAACAATAGCTAAATGTCTGTTTTTGTTTGGGGAGCCTTGATAATAAGATAAATTTGAATGACATCAAACAGAGGTACAGTAAGGCTACTGTAGAAGTTTTGCAGCCACCTGGCTTGATCCTTCAGAGAAGGCTTGGGGTGCAGTGCGAGGCTGGGGAAGCAATGTTTGCTACATGTTCCAGAAATGTACTTGGATGAAATAAATTGTCAGTGGGAGCATCATTTAGGAATACAAATTCTCAAAAACAAGGGGAGGGTTCTTAACCTTGGATCTATTACATTTTTAAAAAATTTAATAACTATGTATCTCAGTATAATTGGTTTCTTTTGTAATCCAATGTATTTTATTTTGTACATTTAAAACCATGATTCTGAGAAGGAGTCCATAGGCTTCATCAGCCTGACAAAAGTTTCTATGACCCTTCCAGAAAAGTTAAGAGCTCCTGCTCTAAATGATTTGTCTTTGAATTGCCATAAGAGTTTTGTTTTGTGCCAGATATTGAGCTAAGAGCTAGAGATACAAAAAAAGGCAAAAACAGCCCCTGCCCTCAGGAGCTGACATTCTAAAAGGGAAGATGACATTGCAAAAAACCAAAAATGTGTATTTAGTATATATAGGGTATCCCAGAAGCCTTAGGGAAGATGTCTGTGGGGCATTTAACCCTTCTCTTAATTGTTTTCAACACAAACACATCTTGAAATATTAGTCCTCCATAAGTCACTAAATCAGATGCCTTTGACATTTCATTATATGAACAGGAGGTGTCAGAGACTACTGCAAGAGAGTGCCTTAGTTTATACATCTGGATTGAGGAGGGGGAAGTTTACTAGAAAAGTCTAGACCTTTGGACCAATGATTCTGTCTGTGGAGCTTCTACTTAGGGAGAAAATGCCATCTACCAATGCAGATCAGTGCCTATTCTGCATTTTATAAGTCTTAGATTGAGAGCTGCCTTGGGGCACTGAGAGGTTACGATTTGTCCAGCGTCACATTGCCAATATCTGTCAGAAGGAAGAAGGAAACCTGGGTCTTGCTGATTCCAAGACCAGCTCTCCTTAATTATGCTACTCTGTCTCCATCTGGGATCTGGGAATGATGGATGATCCCTGGCCCTTTCCCTTATCCTGTCTGAGAGCACTGATTTTTGGGAAGCGGGAGAAATGTTGTGTGGTTATTACTGTTACTCTGTATGATTATGCTGGAATGTCATTCTAGCCCTGTTCTCTGTGATCTTCTGTGGGACAGGTGAAAACTGTCTTCTAAGGAGGGCCTTTGATAGTGTGGTCATTATTTGTCCTTGGTCGGGGTCCAAAATAGATCTGCTGCATATTTTCTACCTGATAACCCATTCCTGTTTAAGCCAGTGGAGAAAAATTGCATGAACTCTGGTGCATCTTGGTGGAGTGGTAAAAGTAATGGTCTTATCGGTAAGAACACTGGTTGTGGGGTCAGGGGTCCCTGGATAATTAATTACTATTACTCTGGACAGAGCAACTTAACCTTTTTGAACCTGTTTCCTCATCTGAGAATGGGACTAATAATCCTTATATGATGTGTTTTACCAGGTTGTGAGGTGGCACAGGAGGTAGAGTACTGGGCCTGGAATCAGGAAGACCAGAGTTCAATTCTAGCCTCAGACACGTTAGCTATGTGACCTGAGGCAAGTCATTTAACCCAGTTTGCAGCAGTTTGGGGGCAGCTAGGTGGTACGGTGGATAGAGGGCCAGGCTTGAAGTCAGGAAGACTCAGTTTCCTCATCTATAAAATGAGCTGGAGAAGGAAATGGCAAACCACTCCAGTATCTTTGCCAAGAGAACCCTACATGTGGTCACAAAGAGCTGGACATGACAGAAACGTCCCAACAACAACAACAGCTTCTAAACCTTAAAACAGTGTACAAATAACAATTAAGGTGTGAGTCCTTTATCCTTCCTTTTCAATCAGATTAATCAGCATCCTTAGCAAGAGTCCTTAAATGTGAAGCTGAAATAAGGCAAGATGGCATCTGACTTTCTCTGCCTGACCGGAATTTTGCTTTTTTGAGCCCTTGTTTAAATACCCTGCTCTAGGTAAAATGATACCCAGTCCACTTAGAATCTTGAAGGATCAAAGGAAGGGTTGCAGTCTACTTCCATGGAGCAAGTACCCACATTGATCTTTGCAAGTGTTGAAATTGAATAATTATTATAATGTCAATCAGTCAACAAGTGTTTATTAAATGCCTACAGTGTGCTAGGCACAGTGGCAGTATGGCAAATCGTGGCCCTAATAATGAAGAGACCTCAGAGGCTATCTAATCCAAGCCCCTCATTTTACAGGGGAGATGTGAGCTCCCTTAGGGAAGGAGTCGTATTTTTGCCTTTCTTTGTGTCCCCCACACTTAGCACAATGCCTGGCACGTGGCTAGTATTTAATTAATGCTTGTGGACTGTCTGAGATGGAATTATAAATTTAGAACCAGAAGGGACCCTAGAAGTCATTTAGTCCAGCCTAGCTCATTGCTCAGATGAGGAAACTGAGACCCAGAGATTGTGACTTGCCAAAGAGTCCCCACTCTTTGTAAGTAAGTGGTAACACTGGAATTTGAAATTAGATTCTTTGATGACCGATCCACCCTCTTTGCCAGTGTCCCATGGTGCCCATCTTCATCTCCTGACACAGAGACATTCAGTCAATGGGGAATTGAATTGAATTGTCTCCCCAACAAGACCATTAGCTTCGTGGAGTGAGAGCAGGTACTTTCCTTTTATGTCAGTCAACAAGTATTTATTAAGCACTTGCTGTATACCAGACACTGTTAAGTGCCAGGGATACCAAGCAGGGCAGTTTCCCACAATACCTTGCACAGGACTATGCACAGTATAGATGTTGAGGAGACAAAAATGAATATGCAGAATTTGTTTTAAAACCTTACTAAATCTGCGTGGGTGGATTTGTGTGTGTGTGTGTGTGTGTATGTATAAAAAACATACGTATGAGTAAAGAGACATTGTCAGATGTGGGGTAGATTTAGGTCCTTATATGAGGTAGTCACTTTGATCTTTGTTTAATTGCCCCTTGGTGGGAAGAGAGAATAAAGAAAGAAGGGAAGGTGAGGAGTGCTAACAAGAAAGGTGTAGATTGGGGGAGGGGAAGAGGATCCCCTGAGATAAGGCTGCCCAGGAGTTATCTCCAGATAAGGCTGCCCAGGAGTTATCTCCAGATAAGGCCAAGCTCCAGTTGGAGTGGGCATTCAAGGTTATAACCTTGAAAACCTCTAATGAGCCCTTCCCAGGGCATTTTTTTGCCTTATCAGGTGGGAAAAAGACCTTGTTGTGATGGACCCTTCTCTATCACAGACGATCCTGCTAACTGAACCTCTGGCCCTTCTCAGCTAGTTAATACTGGCTGAGCTTCAGGGTCTGGATTCCTGGGACCCAGAACCACTATTCTTTTGCGTTTTAAAATTCCCTCCAGTCGCAGCAAGAGAGGGGTGAAGGGGGAAGGAAATGAGGTGGGAGAGACAGTCCATCCTGTCATCCATCTGGGAGCCCAAAGCAGAAGAATATAGCAATGTCCACCTTGGCTTGTCCTGGCTGCAGTTCCAAGCAATGGGTGAGAGCAGGGGATGGTTTACATGAAAAATGGCCATTTCTTGGCAACTCCAAGGTGCCAAGGCTTTCTGCAATGTAAGTTTTTAAGCCATTTATTAAAGGGGGTTACATAAGTGGAAAACTAATCTCTTCATATAAAAGTCCTTACAGGAGAGGCAGAGGCCCCCGTTTGGAGCCTTTCGGCTTGTTAAATGTCAAGGGGGTGGGGGCGCAGGAACATTCCAAAACCAGTAAACGCTGGTGTTCAGTACTGAAAAAGGGATTAGTGTGGAGCCAGTGACACTGGCGGCTGGACCCAGCATGACTTGCTCCTCATTCCAGCCCAGCTCAATATCAGGCTTGTACTTTACAGCAAAAAAGGAGAATTTCCGTTGACAAGTATACAATTTATTTCAGGTACGTTACCATGGCAGTTATGAGTATTTTTTTTAATCTGGCGCTTAATCCCAAAATAGAATAGCTTTCCAGGTGGAAACAGGAAATCCCCAGGAGGTCAAGCCAGGCCAGGCCACTCATTGAACACAGTTAGCTGCTGCCACTCTTTCTTTCTCATGCTGTCTAGAAAAGAATCTAGAATAGATTTCCCAAGAATATCAATTTAGGAATTGGACATTCACTGTTTGAGGGGTCTGACCCTGTTTAATCCTGAGAGAAGTTATTTACTGTACTGCTCTCTGCTCCCCATACATATTTTGTGATTTCCTGCCTCTGTGTCCTTACCTATGTAGGTATACCCACATATCACCTGGTATGTCCTAAGTCCCACCCTGCCCCCTTTTCCCTGTTGAATTCCTGCTGATCCTTTAGAGCTCAACTCAAGTGGCACGTCCTCCAGGAAGTCTTCTTTGATTTCCCTACAGTTTAAAATGACCGCAAGACTTGGATCTCACATAGCCATTTTGTTTTCCAATATACTAATGCACTTATAATGGTGCCTTTAATTATAGTTATTTGTGTTTGTGTCTTACCCTTTTCTACAATGTAAGCTCCATAAAAGCAGGAATGGTTTTGTGTAAATTTTTTTTTAATCTTCCATGACACAGTGCTCTGCATACAGTAGATGCCTAATAAATGCTTGTTACATGAATAAATAAATGAATGTTTATTGGTTGCTTTTTTTTTGGAACATTTTAATAACCCTTTTTTTTAGAGGAGCTCTTTTGGGGATGTTTTTTAGGGGAACAAGGGACAGAAAGGGTTAAAATCGTCAGCAATGGCAGCATGGCATAGTAGAAGAAACCCTGAATTGGGAACCAAAAGACATGGATTCAAATCTCAGCCCTACCACTTACTTGGTCGCTTTGTGACTGGTTAATTCACTTGTCTCTAAGCCTCAGTTTCCTCATTTGTAAAATGAAAGGCTTGAACTAGATGATCTCTAAATTCCATTTCTATTCTACCATTCTATGGCTTTATAATCTGGTTGCTTCCTTGGGAAAAGGACCCGAGGGTATACCCCAACTGAGGTATATCCAGCGAGTTCACAGTGTAAAGCTGCTCCGGTCAGGAAAGGGTTACTTGGGGCCATGCCCTCCATGATTCTGCGACAGAAAGAGACTGACTTGCTTGAGCTGAGGGGTCAGGTGGACCAAAAGGCCAGTCGAATCATACATTTAAAAATGACAAGCCCCTTAGACATCATTTATTCCATCCCCCTCATTTTACAAATTGAGGAAACAAGTCCCCAAAGTGAATAGCTTGCCCAAAAACATGCAGATAGCGAATGGAAGAACTGAGGTTCAAACATTCAAACCCAGGTTCTCTGGCTTGAAATCGAGCCTTCTTTCCGCTGTGGGCCACTCCCCTCTGTTGTCTGGTTGCAATCCAGCTCTTCTATGCATTCATGTGACAATGCTGATAAGGAAGTGTTTGAAATGAGGATATCAGTACTCACCCTATCGGCTCATGCCCAGTCATCAACAATAGAGGTTCTATGCTCAGCAACCTGGATATTTTCCATGGATCCATAGCTCCCATTTTTCTTCCTGAGGGACAAAATAGTTTGATAATAAAAATAGGAATTTTCCTATGCTAATTTTCAGAATTATTATTATTATTTTTCTTAGAGTGGTTTTGCTTGTAAAACATAAATACTTAGGGAAGGGACAGTAAAAAGAGCCCCATCCAAGACGGATATTGAGCAGTCAGTATCACCTGAGTGATCAGTCAGCAGTTGAGACAAGCTCTTCATCCCTCCTGAAAGGGAAACCACTGTGCAGCCCAGTTAAGGTCTGAACAGAGTGAATGGTTAAGTTGTAGTGATTGCTTCCTGCAACAGAAATTGCCCATACCAAGCTTGGTATGTCTTTACATGAGCTGCCTCCAGAGCAAAATAATCAGGAGGGGGATCTCTGATGCTCAGGAAAAGGATGAATTTCAACTTGAAACAGCATGAGACACGGTTAGGTCTAAGTGTTCAGAATGATGCAGTTCCTCCCAGTGACTCAGCTATCCCTGAAGAGGAAGTTAGCCACCCAGAGGGAGCAGCCTCCCTTCTTCTAGGTCAATATCACACTGAGTATAAGGATGGGGTACAGTAAATCAATCCAATATAATTGAGAGTTAAGTGACAAGATGCCCTGATAACTTTAAAGGAAATGAGAATCATTCTTAATCAATATCAGTCATAGATTTTAGTTCGCAGAATTCAGAGTAATGCAAAAAAAAAAAGGTCCTTGGAACTACAGTAACACAGGAGAAATTTGATCAAGCCCTAGAGGTTATCTTTGAAGTATCTAGTATAGTGCCAAGGTTATTCTAGAGATTGGATCAGACATTGGTAGGCAAATTGGGAAACTGCCTTCACTGTCTCCTGCCCTGAAGCAGCTTTTTAATTCGCCCAAGCAGCCCAAACACGGAGAGAATGTGGTTCGTTGTTTTTTTTTTTTTTCTGTTACCGGCTTCATTCATCAGCCTCCTCCTCAACTTATATAATATCGCCTGCAGCTTCTCACCTCATGTACTGTCTCCTGATAGGTGAACGCTGAGGCTGTTTGTCTCTATTAGTATTTCAATTATGAACACCTTGAACTCCTCAAGGTCATCATTTTGCTTAAGAAGCCCATGATGATCAAGAGACAAACTTTGTCCACTGTCACAAAGAGACAAAAAGGCTGAGCTGGGGTTTGCTCCCACTTCAAAAAATTACCGAGGGCTGAATAGGACAGGAGAGCAGCAAGGTCACCCAACTCGGGGAAGTGACGATGGTATGTGAAAGAATTGGATGGGTGGGTAGGTGGTACAGTGGATAGAGAGCGGGGCCATCAGGAAGACCTGAGTTCAAATGTGGACTCCGACAATTACAAGTCTTATGAATGTGGGCAAGTCACTTCACCCTGTTTGCCTCAGTTTCCTCAATCTGTAAAATGAGATGGAGAAGGAAATGGCAAACCACTCCAGTATCTTTGCCAAGAAAACCCCAAATGGGGTCATGGAGAGTCAGACATGACTGAAATGGCTCAAAACAACAGCCGGAACAAGGCCCTCAGGGCTATATGAATAGAGTCTACTATCTTAGACTGAACAACCTAGTATGGAAATATCCTGCCCAGCTTGGTGGAAAGAAGAGACCTGGCACTCTGAAGCATACTAAGAATTTAGCCACTTTCTTTGGCACTTTTATTGGACCAAGTGTTTTTCCTTCCTTTATCTATTGAAAATCAACCCTTCCACCAACCCAGATCTCACCCCTCCAAGACAGGGGAAGCTAAGCTCACTGAGGAACTGTCAGAGGTGTCAAACATCCTGCCTGTGGGCCAGAACTCCCAAGTACTGTCTGAACCAGATTAAAATGTAATTAGGAAATATTTAACAGAATAAATAAAAACATAATAGAACGTAGATAATATCAGTATGTGGTTTTTTAAGTCAATATGTGGCTTTCAGCGATCCTTATGTGCAGTTTGGTGATCCTGTTTGAATTTGACACCACTGTACCAAATGTATGTTATAACTGACATTTATGAATAGTTTTGAAAGGTTGCAGAGCACTTTACCTGAGTTATTTCGTTTGATATACCCTTTATGAGCCCTGGATTTGGAGCCAAAGGAGTTAGGTTCAAATCCTACTTCTCTCACTTATTAATAATAATGAACAGTTATAAAGAGCCTACTAAGTGCCAGGCACTGTGATAAATGCATACAAATGATTAATGCATGACCATGGTTGGGCAAGTCATTGAGCTTCCCTGGACTATAGATGATTCTTGGTTGGTTAGATGAGGGGGTCGGCCTGCATGGTCTTGAAGGCCCTCACAGCTCTAAATCCATGAGATAGATCCATGCTCCTATGAAAGGCATTGCTTCTGTTCGCAAAGAACTGCCATCTGGCTCTAGAGACAAAGTTAACCTTAGGAAGACAGTTCTGTTTCAATGGGTCCACCATCTCATCCTGCTTAACCACGTAGTCCAGCTGGTTAGCATAAGGGTGATAATAATAGCTTCCGTGTATGTGTTTAATTGTTACTTTAGAGTTACAAAGTGCCTTCTTCCCAATAACGTTGTGAGGTTTGGTGGGTATAAGTATTAGCTTTCCTTTTTTATGAATGAAGAAACTGAGACTTAAAGAGTTTACATAATCTGTCCAAATTAGCAAACACCTGATACTCAGTATCAAGCCCTCTAGTGTGAAGGCCAGTTTACTTCTACACTAAGGTGCCTTTTGATAGGAATTCAGAGAGGGGAGAGGTCAATGGAGTAGGAAAGGGTCAAAGATGACTTTGTGAAGGCGGTAGTGGCAGTTTTGCTTGTTTTAAACTCCTTTTCTGTAGTCAGAATACACATAAGGATGGAATCTTAAAATTAGGATTCCAGAAAAGTAGTCCAGAAAAGCAAAGGCTAAGGATATTGACTGATAATCTGGGAGAAACTAGGAATCCTGATGCTTGTAGCCAATTCACTTGGAAGGCTGAGACAGTTGAAGAGGAGGAGAGAGAATCACCAAGAAGATTATTCAGCCCATGCCTTTGAAGGGGTTGGGGAAAGGTAGGTGGAGCTTGGGAGAAACAGTGCAACCTCAGGTAACCCCCTTCCCCTCTACTCCAGCAACCGTACTCACTCACCCTCCTCCTGTGCCCCGCACCGAAACTGCTCTGGAGGCATAGGCTGGTAGAGAACCACAAGGCATAAGGGAAGGGAAGATGCATTTATAGAGCACCTACTATGTGCCAGGCACTGTGCTATGTGCGTTACAAATATTGTCTCATTTGATCCTCATAGCAACCCTGTAAAGTAGGTGCTGTTATTTTCCCCATTTTATAGTTGAGGAAACTGAGGCCAACAGCGATTAAGTGACTTACCCGGGCTCACACAGCTAGCAAGTGTTTGATTCTGGATTTGAACTTGGGACTTCTAGACTCCAGGACCAGTGCTTTATCTGTGACACCACTTATGTCTATGCTTGGGACTTCTGGGTCTTTCTTGCATTCCCTTATTTTATAAAAAAGGGTACTCAGCTGCTGCATAAATTCTGAAGATCCACAGACCCCAAATTCTGCTCATCTTTCCTTCAAAAACCCTTACAATGAATAATTTAATGAGCAAAATACCAATTGAGCATCTATTCTGTGAAAAATACTTTGCTAGGTCATAAGCCAGGCTTCAGATAAGCATTAAGTCAGGGCTCCTATTTACTGGCAGTTGACAATTGGGTTGGGGAGAGAAAAGATAAATACACAAAGGTAAAGATATAAGGCAGCATGTGATGTGTCAGATAAATGCTACAGACCAAAAAATATCATCAGAATCCTGAGGAAGGGAAGACTACCCTGGACTGAATAGTCAGGGACTGTGCATGAAGTATGAAACTTGTGCTGGGCCTCCAAGAACAGAAAGGAATCAGATCAGGAGAATTTTGAAAGGGCATCCTTAAGTTTCTATCGTTACCTACTTTATACTCCAAATTGGTCATGGACCAGCATGCAACTGGGGATGAAAAAGACAAGATTTTAGATTTTATTCTTTGTTGTGGGGTGGGGATGGGGGAAGTAATGTACAAGGAGATATAAAGAGCCTTGAATCATGCAGACGAAGAGCAAGATTAAACTCATTAGCTTTAATGCAAGCAAAAAGAGTGCCCCCCTCTTCCCCCCTCACCTTAACTGACTGTCTGGCCTAAGAGGTCTTGTTGACTTTAACCATTGACCCAATCTCTGAAATTTTCAGATATCTCTGTACATTTTTATTTCCCATTTACATCCCACAACTCTAGCAAATAGGTTTCCCCACCCCACTTTTAAAGAAAAAGAATTTTAAAGAAAAAATTATTTTCTTTTGAATGAATAAGGATAAAGACACCCAATGCTGGGTATAAACACACACTACCTCATACTTCCAATGATGAGCAAAAGTTGTATAGGGATATCATTCAGGAAGTGTATGATAGCAAAAAAGAGGGCTGGTCAGGTAACAAGAATGAGAGGAAACTGATATACAGCCCTAGTGTTGCTCTAGTAAAATGTCAAATATATAAACTACTACCACCACCACCACCACCTAGGGGAAGGCCTTTTGCACACTGGGTGTATTAGTGTGGAGATAGAGAATATGGATATGAATCTCATAACAAGAGAAGGCATACACAGATGTATGGATGTATGGAGTAGAAGGAATACCCTAATTGGTGAGATGGTGGGTCGCCTGATGGATGAAGTTAGAGTGGGATTTTTTTGTAACCCTTGAACGTATAGAATAAATATTGTTCCTAATTAGACTCTGAGAAATGTCTCATTTTTGAACTCATTAGATGACTATAGAGGGAAGAAGTCTTAGAAATGTCATCATTAGATAAGCATTTATTAAGTACCTATGATGTGCCCAGCACTGTGTTAAATTCTGAGGATTCAGAGAAAAAAATGAAATAGCCTCTTTTCCCAAAGAGTTTATATCGGGGAAAATAGGTAAGTTGATAGGTATTGCAAGTCAGAATACATTTCTTTTACTTTAACAAAGGCAGTCCCCAAAAGGGTTCCCTTCAAAGCCACGCTGTTTTGAGATTCTCCTTCGAACAAGCTACAGATAGAAGCTGATTCTAGATGCTCGGGAAGTAGTTTGGGCGCCAGGAGGGACAAAGGAGGATGGTGGAATTTCTAGATCACCCTTTGTTCTGTACAGGTCATAGCTTTCACCCCAAGGTCATCGGTGAATCATAGACAGGGCCATAAGCCTTTTCCCATTTTGACAGAAGGGGAAGGCCAGGGGTGCTACTAGTTGGCGCCTACCTCAGAGTGAGAATTTATGGATCTTACTTTCTAGTACAATATTTTTTAAAAAATTTAATTAATTTTTAGTTTTCACCATTCACTTTAAAAGGTTTTGAGTTCTAAATTTTCCCCACCTCCTCACCAAGATGGTGTGCAGTTTGATATAG